CAAAGCGATTTCTGGCTGTGCCCCTTCTTATCTGCTCTCACTTCTGCAGATCTATGTGCCCTACAGAAACTTGTGTTCAGTGAAGGAACATCGCCTCGTGGTTCCATCTCAAAGAGGGAAGAAATCACTTTCCCAAATTCTCGTGCTCAATCTGCCCAGTTGGTGGAATGAACTCTCTAACTGCATCAGAAAGGCAGTCACTCACTGTCTTCAAAAAACGACTTAAAACTCAACTATTTAGTCTCCACTTTCCTTAATAATCTGCAATTCCCTCTCTGACCCCATCCACTAACTACATTACTAACTACAAAAAAAATAAAAAATTACTACTGTTTTGCTTCTTACACTTTCTTTGCATACCTGAAACTTGCCTATATAGTTGTGTAAATTGCTTCCTTGTCCTCATTTGTAAGTCGCTTTGGATAAAAGCGTCTGCTAAATGACTAAATGTAAATGTAAGAACAGCTTGTGCATTGCTGGAGTTCAGCAGGCATGTAGAGCTCTGTTAGTCGTGTCTTTGTCTTTTACAGACTGAAGTGCACAGATAGATGGGTGCATGGATGGATGTCCTTCCAAGAGGAAGGGGGTGGTGGTGGGTCTAGATTGTTAGATAGATATCTTCTCTCTGCCTGTTATTTACATTGCAGGTAATGGATGCACAAAAAAAGAGAAGAGGGAGACTCGTGTGATTTATTTGAAAGTTGCTGGAGAACAGCTTGTGTGTACAGGAGCTCAGCCAGCAGGTACGGCTCTGTTGGGGCTGTCTTTGTCTTTTGTAGATTGGAGTGGAGCAGAAAAAGGAGACTCACAAGGGAACAGTGGACATTTTGCAATTACTGCAAACTGATGGTCTGGTTAGGTAGTTCCAGAGTGGATGGGTGGGTGGATGAATGAATGAAAAATAGATGTCCTTCCAAGAGGAAGGGGGACGTGGTGGGCATAGATAGTTAGCTAGATGTATTGTCTATGACAAGTGTTTCTTTTTCAAGGCAACTCATAAGAGCATCAGTGGAGCTTTATCTGAAGGATACTGGAGAGCAGCTTGTGCATTGCTGGAGTTCAGCAGGCCTGTAGAGCTCTGTTAGTCCTGTCTTTGTCTTTTACAGACTGGAGTGCAGCATGTGGAGTGAAATAGGAATCACACACCTCAGCAATGACTGGACACTGATGGTTAGAGGTTAGGTATTTCCTGAATGGATGAACGAATAGGTGAATGAAAAATAGATGTCCTTCCAAAAGGAAGGGGGTGGAGGTGGGCATATTGTTAGATGTCTTCTCTGTGATAGTTATTGAAATTGTACACTGTTAACCCTTGCTGTAGATTATACAGTAAATAACTGTAAAATAGCCAGTGTTTTACTTTATTTAAAGGAAACAGTATTTTACTGTAAAACGAGTAGGATTTGTATGAAATTGTGTACTGCAAAGAATAAATTACAGTAATTTACTTTATGTACTCATTACTCATCCACTCTGATGCTTTATGTGGCTATTTATAGAGAGTTGCATTTATCTTAAGACAGAAAACAATGATTTAGGCATTAGCACGCACATACAGGCATACAAATGTTTTGCCGCTTTAACGCCCCATTCACACATGGCTTCAGTGTCAACGCTTCCCATTCACTTTGAATGGGTGACGTCAGGCGTTGCAGAACTGCATTGTGGAAATCTTGTGTATTGTGATGAAATATGTAAACCTTATATGTAAATCCTTTATGTTTTAAGCCTTAAACAAGAATCTACAATGAGTGTGTAAATATGTTCAAATGTTTGTGTGCAGGGGGGCCTTATGTGTATTAAATCAAGTTGTTGTTATTTTGAACTGTGTACTTGAAAGCTACATTGTTAGCTAGTTAGCATCTCTTCACATTTTATTCTATTACTTTCATTTAAGTAGATGTTTTATTTGGACAACTCATCTTTATTAGTTTTGTCATGATGTACAGATGCAAATGGTGTAATGCGCCTTTCTGGCAACTAAACAGTTTTTATACACATTAAAATCATTCAGTTCCAATCTTCTCAGTTTGGTAACTGCACAGAAATCCTCATAGGCAATTCCAAACAGATGATACATACTGTATAGCCATCCACACGCAAACCTCCACTGTCACGGACCAAGTTGTGAATTTGTTTCCACCTGTGAATTCAGGCATCCCACCAGTGACTTAACATCCCTCCACTGACCAGAATTATAATTTTTTTTTATGAATTAATAAAGCTAAAAGTAACTCACTTACATTTTTAAAAAGTCACTCAAATATAACTTAATAGTTTAAAGTAATGTGTTACTTGTTTCTTAGAAAAGTAATATCATTACGTAACTTGCGTTACATGTAATGCATTACGCCCAACACTGTATACCATCGGTGTCAAACTCTGGAGTTCCCACCCTACTTCAACACACAAGTCCTACATTAACTGCATGTGCTGTTGTTTATTAATTTAACCTGTTTGTTTCATTGTAAATAGATTATAAATGTGTTTAATATCTGCTGATTCGTTTCATTTTGTTTGACATTTTTTTGTTGTATATTTGTTTGCTGCAAAAAACAATAAAATACATTTGTCTGAAGAATTGATTTCCTTTCTACTTTTTAATAACAGTTCAGAATCCTGGTTCATTTTAGTAAAACTACAATAACTGTATATGGTCTACCATTAATGTGTATGCAGTAGCCGTTATGCTGTGAGTATAGGACTACAGTATAGTAATTAACTGTAAGTTAGTGACCGCTACTGCTCTGTTACAGAGACTAACACTGTTGCAGTATTCCACTGTAAAAATAAACTTTATAAGGTCGAATACATTTATCAAAGTATTTATTGGGTTTTGTTAACGTTAGTTTTTGTAAATAGAGTTTCATTGCAATTCATGTGAACTCAAAGAGCATTAACTAATATCAACTATTTACTTTTATTAATGCATTAATAATAAAACCGCCCAGATCTTTTATCAAGCCCTCACAGATGTCTCTTAAATGAATATATTCTACAGGATGCTTTATATTAATTTATTTGTGCACAGGTCAAAAATTAGTGCACCCAAATATTACATGCCACTGGTACTTCACAGCTAGCAGTAGGGTCACCCATAGTGGACAAGTCTCAGCTGAGATGCCCGATCAAAACAAACCAGCTGATTCTGGACAGCATAAGATTGGCCTGATGCTCAAGATAGAAGATGTCAGAAGAAACAAAATGACTGCTTATGTGGAGTTACAGATGGACCAAAGCTACTGTTAGCTCTTCTCTGAAATATAACACACAGAGAGAGAAAGAGAGAGAGAGAGATAAAAAATAAATCTTGCAGACATTAGGAATAAAATATTTATAGAAAAATTATTTATTGATAGCCTTATTTTAAAGAATATTTTTAATACAAAACGTTTTCAATTTCTTGGAATGAAAGAGTCTATTTTGACAAAATTTTTTTGACTGTTTAATGATATAAAATTGACTCAGAATTTACTACTGAAAGAATATTTCAGTTCATTATTGTATTAAATCCGAAAAGAAGCAAGTAAACATACAACACATGAACAATATAGAAACACACACACACACACACACACACATATATATATATATATATATATATATATATATATATATATATATATATATATATATATATATATATATATATATATATATATATATAGACATAGATATACATACACACACACAGTTGAAGTCAGAATTATCAGCCCCCTTTTGATTTTTTTTTTTACTTTTTTAAATATTTCCCAAATGATGTTTAACAGAGCAAGGACATTTTCACAGTATGTTACTGATAATATTTTTTCTTCTGGAGTAAGTCTTATTTGTTTTATTTCGGCTGGAATAAAAGCTAATTTTAATTTTTTTAAACATTTTGGGACAAAATTATAGGATTTTTATAAAAAATATAAATAATTATAAATTATACATTATAAATAAATTCTAAATATATATTTTTCAATAGTCTACAGAACAAACCATCGCTATACAATAACTTACCCAATTACCCTAACCTGCATAGTTAACCTAATTAACCTAGTTAAGCCTTTAAATGTCACTTTAAGCTGTATAGAAGTGTCTTGAAAAATATCTAGTAAAATATTATTCACTGTCATCATTGCAAAGATAAAATAAATCAGTTTTCAGAAATGAGTTATTAAAACTATTCTGTTTAGAAATGTGTTGAAACAATCTTCCCTCCATTAAACATAAATTGGGGGAAAAAAACAGGGGCGTTAAAAATTCAGGGGGGCTAATAATTCTGACTTCAACTATATATATATATATATATATATATATATATATATATATATATATATATATATATATATATATATATATATATATAATTGTATAGAATAATATTTGTATTTTCATATCAATCCACACCATAACCTACAAACCAATCACTGCCACTGAAATAAATGCCCTTTTATAAGTTCCTTTAAGCCAATGGTGTACGCAATGGTTTAATAATATTATTCATACTCAAATTATAGTTATGATTATACCTAGCACACACATGCTACTATTATTATTGAATAGTTTTAGATATAATCTATTATTTTATTCTACATTACTGTATAGACTTTGTGCTCCTATATAAATGTCATAATATCCATTACTTTTTATAAACTCTTTGTTCACTCAAAAAACTGTAAGAAAAATGAGAATTCCAGCACTATTTTTGATAAAAGAGACACATTTATTTACATCTCTCTTTATACCATAAAATATACATGACACATTTGAGCTTTCTGACTCCTACGTAACTGGAGTTTTTTTACATCATAAAATTGTAATCCGTTAATAAATATTAACGTTATTGTATTTTATATTTTATATTTATACTTGAAATCAGCAGCTCCTCTGGTTATCAGTCTATAAACATTAGGCAAAGAGCATAGAATCTGACTGAATCTGGTGATTGTAAGCTCTTTGCATTAGGTGGCAGTAGGTTGCTGCGCATCTTTTAGACCAAAATATCCGAAGAAGAAAGTTCGGAGGTCAGCGCTGCGTCGACGCTTGCTAGCTTGTTCTCTGCGCTCACTCTTTTATAATGGCAAAACATCACCCAGATTTGATCTTTTGCAGAAAACAGGCTGGAGTTGGTAAGTCTCGTTTTTCATTAGACCTTAAATAATTTCTTTGTTTAATGATCCAACTTATAGCAAACAATGAGTGAGAATGTACACTCGCGCTACAGCAGATGGATGAACAATAAGGTTTCAATCTAAGTGGAGACGGTTCAATTAATCGTGTAACTTTAGTAAGCAGATAAAATAGCAGCCTTACAAAGTCCTCGTATACGATGCTAGTTAGTCAGATATTTGATTGGAGAAATAACGATGTTTAAGTGTTTGTGCGAGCCGATGCAAACGTGCTTTTGTCGTTTGTTTACAGCGTCCTCAGTCGTTGGAGGGCGGAATTGTCATGCAGGCTTTCAGATACTTATAAAGAGAAAGAGACAAAACTTCACTTTACTGACCATCAAATGGTTCCAAACCTTTGAAGTTTTCTGTTGAACTCAAACTGTTTTCGTAGCGTGTTGGGAAATACAATTAAAATAGATGCAGGGTTTCACACAATCCATTTTGTCCCATCTCATATCGATGAAGTTAACAAAGTGGATTGAACAAAAAACAGTTGTCTTTCACTGGACAACATGACAAAATACCGAGGACCAACATAAAATGTATACAGTTATTTGCATGTTAGTGTCAGACTTTACATTTACAGCCTGAATTGAAGTACTGACAAATTATTTAGCACAGTTTCTTTCCTTGGTATTTATAAAGTCTCGATATTACCTTTACGTCATTTGTTTTGTACCTTTTACGGTTTTAATATGCAAGAGTTCATCAATTATATGTCTGTTTAACCTGATTTGACCTTTATTTCTTTTGCAGCCATTGGAAGACTGTGTGAAAAATGTAAGTTTTACTCATTTTCTTTTCATGAACAGTTATCAGTAATATATTTATTTATTTAACGAAAGATATAATGTATATGTACATTTTAAACCCACAAGGAATTTGTTAATCTTTGTAACACAGCGAGTGATATCACAGAGTTTATCCGCTTCATTAAAGGGATAGTTCACCCAAAAATGAAAATACTGTCATCATTTACTCAGCCTTTACTCATTTCAAAAAGCAAATTTTGTTTGAATTTTTTTTTTTTTCAAACATAGTAGATATTTTGAAGAAACCTGTAACCATTGACTTCCATAGTATTTGTTTTTCTACTTTTAAAGTAAATAGTTACAGTTTTCATCTTTCTTTAAAATATCTCCTTTAGTGTTCAACAGAAGAAACTAGGCAAGTAAATAGTGAGTAATTTTTCATTTTTAGCTGAACTATTCCTATAACAATGTAAAGAGATCAAAAAAGGATGACAGAATTATTGTTTTGAGGGGGTCATACTGTTATGATGTTATGCTCTTTAACACAAATGTGTATTTTCTTTTCCAGGTGATGGCAAATGCGTGATCTGCGACTCTTATGTCAGACCGTGTACACTGGTTCGTATTTGCGATGAATGCAACTATGGCTCTTACCAAGGACGCTGCGTGATCTGTGGAGGTCCTGGAGTGTCTGATGCCTATTACTGCAAAGAGTGCACCATACAGGAGAAAGACGTGAGTATATCTGCTCTACATTTGCCCAAATTAGTTTTTGACTAAACTGAGAGAGGGCTGGAATAAATATTACATTCGTCAGTAGTTTGAGTTAACTTCAAACGTCATTATGTGGTTTTAGATGTTTGCATTGTGTTATGTTACTTATTAAAAGGTTGAATTCTCAATTCAAAAATCCAAATGATTAGAGGTGGGGAACTTTAAGGTCTTCAGCATCCGATTACAATTATAGGAGTTACGATCCCAATCCAAAACATACATTGTTTATTTTTTCGGAAATACATCGATAACAGTGTAATATAATATTAATAATGACTAATGTAATAACTGCACACTATGAATCATATAATAAGCATTAGAAAATAGTTAATTCATTCATCATTTAAGCATTAACTCTGCATTATTAAACAATAGTAAGCAGTTAGGCTAACACAATTTTTAGCCTATGATTGAGTCTATTTATTTAACTATTTACTTGTGTAAATGTGTTATAAATATATATTATTTCAATAATATTATTGACAAATATGCAAATGTTTATGATTTATGTACAATGCAGATAGTAAATTAATAGTTTCTGTCGTTTAGTGGATGTATGCTATGAGAAATTTGCTTTGTTTACTAAACAAGTGGATCTAATTGGATTTGCAAACCTTAAAATAAAAGTACAAAGGGTATTTTTTGATGAATTATGTATTTAATTACTAAATCAATTATATTTCTAAAATTATATTTATAATTTGATTTATATACAATACACATATAATGGCTTAATGATTGTATTTTCAAAATTTGTTAAAAAAATAACATATAAATTTTTTAGTTACAAAATTAAGTGTGGCATTGTTTAACACAATTTAAGATTTAAGTTTTTAAGATCAATTTTAATGAGCAAGTAAATTACTAAACTATTTAGACATCATATTTGTCAGGCATATAGCAACTCTTGTTAATAAATGTTTATTATTAAATCTCTACTGCAATTCAGTAGTAATTTAAGGACGCACTAAACAAAAGCTTGGAATCTCAATCCTTTAAAGGGCCATGAAACCCCCTCGTTTCAGCAGGGTGTTTTCACACCTCTACTTTCGAAAAAGTCAGAAAAGTGGGCGTGTCCAGCTCTGTTTAGGGGGGAGTGTCGGAGGAACTAAAGTGGGATGGTGTGGGAGTGTCTATTTGTGCACGCGCGAGTTTCAGAGTCAAAATACACACACACACAGACAGGAGAAAGCGATGGTGTTTAACCTACATGGACATCTGTAGTCGAATTATTTGCTGAATTAATAAATGTAGGACTTTAACTGCAGTTTGGCTCTTTCATTCAGGGAATTCATTCATGCCCCTCGCGACAAACGAGATATTTGATTCGAGGAACTGCTTCAAGCGTGTATTTTTCATGCAATGTTTGATACCGCACGGCGAATGAGAGAAAAAAAAAACTCAGCATTTCCCGGAAACTTAGATGCACACGGCAGGTAGCGTCAGAAAGCTGCGTGTGTTATTCCGGTCACTAAATGCGGTGCTAACATTTCTGCACTCAGTGCAATAGTTAACTTAATTCGATATGAACAAACTGAATAAACAAAGAGCACTGGTCGCTCACTTACCAAATCTGTAGAGACAGAACAATCACCAGCAACTAGAGCCACGTCTATATGGAGAGAATACTACAAGCAAATCCAGATTTCAGCGTTTGCAGATGAGAACAGCTCTCAGGTAAACAATAATCCTCCTTAGACACGTAAGTTATTGTTGTCGAGCGTCGCGTACACTGTTAATCCACACGTGATCCAGATAAGCTCTCACAGAGAGAAAATGAAAACGAAACTTAACGGCAGCAAACAATAAAAGCAACACTTCACGCTTGTTTTGCCAACACAACGTAGCGTCTTTGTGGTGTAAACACGGTGACACAAATGAATATTAATGAAGTTGCACAATAGAGCGCGCTGATTGGTTTGAACCAAGCCTTACTCATGCATTAATGCAGCAGGCTGTAAGACGTAATAAGACTCACTCTGGCACAGACGCCCAGTCTGCACGCTGGAATACAACGCTATTATGTCATGACCGTGATGCAGCTTCAAAAATTCGTTTCAAACAGGAAGTACGAATTTGCTTGAAATAACGCAAAAACAACCAATTTACACTTTTTAGTGATATATAGGTGTCCTTATAGTGTTTTTAGCAGTGTGGGACACATATACGACTGTCAAAAGCTCAAAAAATGTGTTTTGGTGTTTCGTGACCCTTTAAAAATACAATTACAGTGGAATACTGCTTATGTGTAGCTATAGAAAAAAAAACATGATGCATCTCAATTAGCATTTAACCATCCTGATCAGTATTAAAAATTGAATTGGTGTATCCCAAATCATAATATGCTAAAATGAGTACTCCCAAAAGTTTGTCATGTGCAGATCTGTGTACACTATACTGCCCAAAATACATTGTGTGTTGGATGTGAATTGCATTAGAACTATAAACAGGGGTAAAATGTGTAAACTTGAAATATGGAGTATAAGTGAAAGAAGCAGTTAAATCGAGAGGCTTAGGTAAATAAGTTTGAATGACTTCATTATTTTTTAAGCTGATGTAAAATATTTATTTAAAGTTTTCACATTTTATTTAATGCAACAGAGTGAACTTTTATAAAGATGCTGTTGGTCATTAATTTCTGAATGTATAATTGTGCAAACCCCTGAGGAGATTTCTCTGCATGAAAGACTTATTAACCTGCAGGAAATTAAATATGAATAAATGTGGATGATGTGACGAGATGATTAAAAGGGCATAAAACTAAGCAACAGATTGGTCCGTTACTGAGGTAGTGGTACAGTCCCAAAGCTTGAATACTCGTCTTTAACACACTTAAAATATGTACGTTTTGTTCATAAAAAAACATCATTGAGTTGGCGAATTGGGACACAGTTTGACTTTCCAGCTAAACTGTATCATTTTTTTATGTTACAGAAAGTCTCAATAAAAACACTAATGTCAATGAAAGTGATCAAATAAAATGAAGGCATCTTTTGGAAAAAGCTTGACACTTCAGATGAAAACGGAATCAATTATATTTTTACGTCAGTAGATGGACTGGTGACCAGTTATCATTCACATTATTTTTATTTTTTAAAGAAAAGAAATTCATTTAGATATGTGCACTCATCCAGTAACAGAACAAGTGAAGTCTTTTAGTAATATAATTACAAAACAAATGATTCATTATGTTGTTTATTTGCACAATTTCCAGAGGCTTCACAAAATGACAGTATTTTTAGTTATCTATTCCAAATAATCTAAGAACTGTGTTTATCCAGCATCATGCAGCTTGTGTTACTGTCAGTTTCTGAAAGTCTCTTTTTCTTCGTCACACAGAGAGACGGCTGTCCCAAGATCGTAAATCTGGGCAGCTCAAAGACTGATCTGTTCTATGAGAGGAAAAAATACGGCTTCAAGAAGAGGTGAAGAAAGAAACGGAAGGAGTTTTTTTTTTGTCAAAGTAGCTTTTTTTGTGCACGATTATTTCATTTTGTTATCAGACTAAATTGAATAAAAAGATGTTTTTAAATATTGTGATGATTTACTTTGTTGTAATTGTCATGTTTCATACTTAAAGTTATGCATGTTTGGAATTTAAGATGACAACTTTTTTAAATTGAGATACTTGAAACCTTTTATAACTCCAGAATGCTTTACTTGTCTTTTTTATACACAAACTGCATCTGGCATGTAATTCAACATGATTTATTAGCTTCTCTCTCCTTCCCTGTCACAAGGAGGAAAAATGATATCAAACACATTTAGTGGTCCATTATTAAACTAATACATTATATTAACAATATTAAATGTAATTGTTAAAATAATTTATTGTAACTGATCTTATATTCACACACGTGGTATTAACTAATGATAAATCCCATGCTATTTGTCAATAAATGCAGTTACTTAATTAAAAGAGACCAGATTAAACTAAGAGTCCCACTTTATATTAGGTGGCCCTAACTAATACATAATTACACTGAAATTAACCATTTGCTTGAATGTACTTATTGTGTAAATACATGTTTTTACATTGTACTTATGATTAAATACCAGCATGTATTTACTTAAGAAAATATTTTCTGTAACTACATTTATATTTACACGGTTGACCATTCCTTAAACCTTAACCCACTCTTAAACACCCATATCACCAAACCTCTTCCTATCCCTACCCATAACCCTCCTCAAGAGCACCAGAAATGTTCTGCAATACATAATGAACAAGGTAAGTACATTGCAGGTATTTTTTGATGCAAGTAAATAGTAGATAAGGTCACCTAATAAAAAGTGGAACCTAGATTTTTAAAATTTTATTTATATTACTTTGTAAAAAAGTTTTACATTTCATTTCTAAAAAAGTGTAAGTTTCAGTTTGCCAGAATACCATTTAAACAATGTAACTTACTCTGACTGAAATGTAATGGATGCTGATGAAAGACTTGTATAGACTGAATGATAGCACTATGTCAGACTAGAGTTTGTTTGGGTGGACTGCTGTGTATCTGAGAGTGTCGCAGTGTTGCCTTTTATTAAGCCCCTCCTACTTTCCTTATGCAACTTTTTTTTTTTTGGCATCCGTCTGCGTTACACAACGCTGCTCCCCCATCTGAAATTAGAGATTCAGTTTCAATTCTTGCAATTTATATAGAATGTTTAAAAGCCCATGAGTAAAACAAATCAGAGTTTTTTAATAATATGTACAACATGAAACAGCCAAGGCATTCAACATTTACAAGTCAAAAACATCTAAAAGACAATCCAAAAAGAAAAACTTTTCAAAACGGACAATTAGAAAAAGACTTTTTGTACAGGAACAAATTACATATTCAACCAAGATTCATGGAGTTAGTCGCTGTTCCTCTCAAATCAGCCTGCATTGGTTTGCTTTCTCGTCTTACACTTAGGAAGCTTGAAGAGAAACGTCAAACTGAAGGTGCGCTTGTAAAGAGATTCTAGTACAGACCGCAAATATGCACATCGTAAAACCTGATTTAAGTGAAGTCATTGTGTACTAGCCACAAAAACTAAGCTTCAGAGTTTCAATCAATTAGCTTTGGTCAAGCTCACATTACAGCAACTGCCATTCTGAAAAAAAAACACATGAAAAAAATACAAACAGGCCTCACAATGAGTACTGCAACATTAGACTGCTAGCCTACTTCACAACAATACACAGAGCAAAATACACGACATATAGTGAATCTTAAGAACTGACCCTTTATCTTCTTTCCCTGATGATAAAAAAGGACAGAGACTAAATATGTGCCTACAATAAAAAAAAAAGCAGGAAGGTGGCAAGCAGAGGTTTGAATTCAGTTTCTGATATGTAACACACTAGTGCTTTTATAAACAGTCACGCTGCTCAAGACACTTATGGATCACTGCAAAACCACTTTTGTTAAACATTTGATGGTTATCTGAAAAGATAAATGATGCATACGAAAACGAAAACCTTTATATAAGCACTTCATTTGATTTGCCCTAAATACAGATACAAGACCAGGTCACGTGTACAGCGTGTTATTTCTGTACATAAACTGACCTCCATGAGTCCCAGAAAAGGGCGAACTGCCATCCTGAAGTGAACAAAGTATGATTTTAAAAGATCTACAGGCTTGCTTTGACAGACAGCATCTAAAGTTTTCTGCTCACGTCAAGTTAAAGACAGACGAAACCATTGTTTTTGTCACACAGACATGATATATTTACATTTCCTGCTAACAGTTTTGTTGTTTCGGTTAATCTGTAATTCTTAAAATGCAATACAAACTCCTCATATTTCAACAATCGCCTCTTCTACAGTTCACACTCATACATGTGGAAGTACACTGAAAACAAATGAAGTCATTATTTATAAATGCAGACTGTTGACTTCCAGTGCACATTATTCCCTAGAACTACTTTGATATTGTAAAACTTGTAAACAAGAGCAGATGGGGAAGACCTTTGTTTCTACATTGGTGTAAAGCACTTCAAAGCTCAGATGAATATATTGGGTATGCCGTTGCATTATACGGAAAGAAAAAGAGCTGTTGACCAGGTTACTAAGCACATGAACGTCACTTAGCTCTACAGTCTGAATCGTTCACCTGCTTCTATCTTGTCTCCTCCTCTTTGTTCCAAACTATTATTCATTTATTGCCTTTCAACAATGCAAATGAATCAATAACTGCTCAGACGTCTTCTTCAGGTCCACTTGAAAAAGAAGAGAAAGCAAAAGTTGTTAATCACATACTCTAGTAGCAGTCTATTGCCTCGTTTATTACAGGCAGTGGGTTTTTTTTTATATGCAAATGCTCCGTGTTTGCGATTGTCCCTTACAGCGCTCCGTATTTGGCTTCATATCGTGCCACTGTGTTCTTGCAGCGCCCAAAGTCCTTGCGCAACTCTGCCACTTCCTGTCTGAGCGCTGAGTTTTCTCTCTCCAGAAATGCCGCTCGAACTGTGATCTGATTCTCTTTCAGGCGCCTGGCATCCCGTGATCGTTTGGCTGCAACATTGTTCTTCTTCCTCCGCTGCCAGTATTTATCATCCTGAAATAGTGCATGAACATTAAAAGGAATATTTGGAAAGCTTTCTTTGTTTTTGAAATGGCACGTTGTTGTTATAAATGGTGCTTGCATGGTTTTATATCTTTTGAAGTGATCAATATGAAACTGGAATTTAACATCTCGTGACTTTACGTTTAGGGTGTAGCCGTGTAATTAGATTTGGGCCTGAGGCACAAAAGCTGGTTTGGCTTTATTCATTCGTCATAGTCAAGTATTTAGCACACTAGTATTTAGAGCAGTGCAATTTTTGTATCATCCAGACACCATTTATTTTCTACATATAACTTTTATCATTGTTTACTTATCAGTTTTAAGGGAAAAAAAATAAATGTTAACGTCAAATAAAAAATGTTAAATTAAAAAACACTTTTGCACAAATTTATTTCATTTTGAACAAAACTAATAAAAAACATTTGTTCTGGGTTTTCAATTATTTTTGGTTAACTAAAATAACCCTTATTACATCTTATTTTATATCAGGTAGTAGCTACTAAATTACTGAGAACTGAAATTAACAAGACCAAGTTTTGGTTTAATTTAATGTCCCTAAAAAACAAACTATTTTTATTTCACAGAAATAAAAGGTAGGGATGCACCGATTTCACTATTAACTGCAATTTAATTGATCTCGGTTAATTAATCGCAAAGGCTTCTCAACATCATGATTCTGCATGAAACAAAACTGCTGCAATTAAAAGTTAAGTTCCAAGCTTGTACATCTAGGCTAATACGCACGTGCACTGAATTTACTATGGCTGAGGCTGTTAACTAAGGGCAGTTCACATGTCTTTTGCTCGCACAAGTTGGTTATTTCTTTCCTTGTGCGCATATTGGGAGTGATGTGCACCGGGTGCTCTCAGGCTTTCCAGGTGCAACTAGTTGAAAGATTTTTTTTCATGTTTTGAAAAAAAAAAAATTTCATTGTTTTTGGAAGAAAATGATTCTGTTCATCAAGACGTCATTTATTAAATGTATTTTTTTTATATTTATTAAAATTTTAAATAACTGCTTTCTTATTGTATGTAGTAATCGTAATAAAATTTTAAATAACTGCTTTCTTATTGTATGTAGTAATCGTAATAAAATTTTAAATAACTGCTTTCTTATTGTATGTAGTAATCGTAATAAAATTTTAAATAACTGCTTTCTTATTGTATGTAGTAATCGTAATAAAATTTTAAATAACTGCTTTCTTATTGTATGTAGTAATCGTAATAAAATTTTGTACTCCAGTTATTATTGTTTTATTACTATTAACATTAATTAAAATAAGTCATTCATTCATTTTCTTTTCTGCTTAGTCCCTTTGTTAATCAAGGGTTTCCACAGCAGAACGAACCGGCAACTTATCCAGCATGTTTTACGCAGCGAATGCCCTTCCAGCTGCAACCATAACTGGGAAACACCCATACTCAATTCACCTATAGTGTATGTATTTGGACATCCAAAGCAGTGACCTTCTTGCGCCGCCTAATAATAATAATAAATAAATAATAATTATTAATATAAGAGTGATTTTTGAAGGATCATAACTGGAGTAATAAAGCTGAAAATTCCTCCTTAAAATCACTGGAATAAAGGATTAAATTAAATTATCAACTACCGTTGAACACTTATTTTATATTGCAATATCAGTTCACAATTTTTCAATTTGTACTGTATTTTTGATGAAATAAATGCAGCCTTGGTGAGCAGGAGAAACTTAAGTTTAAAAAGTTTAAGACATTTGAAAATCCTACTGACCCCAAACGTTTCACCGGTGGTGTATAAATAGGAACGTAAGAAGGGAAAACTAATTTCAAAAATACTATAAAATTACTAAAACTTTAAAATTCCGAAAGAAGTTTTGCTATGGTCTCATTTTTCATGAAAAAAATAAATCTCTTCTTAGTTTATAAAAGTTCCTCATAGTTTAAACCCTGATTTTAAAGGTGACCGTGTATTTACCTTCTGATCCTCAGGC